CTGCAGTTATTAAGTGAGGTTTTTTTCTTGTTTGTTTGTTTACTACAAACCTGAAGACTTAAAATGTGTTTTTTAGGATCTGGAATGGGTGATACTTCAGTATTGGCCCTATAAAAGTAATGTGGTTTATTTACCCAACACTTTGATCCAATAGTTATGACTAATATCATTACAGAAAAGTGTTTTATAAACACCGAGTTCACCCTGCAGCTAGACGAGCCATAGCAAGAAAGGGAAGTGACACCAGGTTCCAGAAATACATCTTAAAAATATTTGTTTTGATTTATGAAGAATGTTATTCACTTAAATGATCAAATTTGGTAGGTGAAGATAGTCTGCTAATGATAAAAAATTAGTGTGAAAAGTTTGGTTACTATAGAAACATGAAATCAGGACTACAGTTTTTTATTTAAGTTAACATACATTGTAATTTTTTTGGTATACGGTTCTGTAAATCTTAACATATGTGTATATTCATGTAGCCACCACTAAAATTAGAACATGCAAGTTTTCCATCACCCTAAAAAACTTTTAGGCTTTGTTTTTCCTCATCTCCTGGCAATTACTGATCTGTTCTTCCAACACTACAGGTTTTGTCTTTCCAAGAACGTTGTGTAAATGGACTCATAACTTTTCTAGATTGCCTTTTTTCACTCAACGTATTATTTTAAGATTAATCCAAGTTAGTTGTCATTTCTTTTAATAGTTTTTTCACCGTATTGCTGAATAGTATTCCATTGCTTGTTTGTTTTTCCATTGCCCATTTGAGGAGTTTCTAGTTCTTGAGATATATGTGAATAGAAATGCTGTAAATGTTTATGTACAGGTTTTTGGCTGAACATAAGTTTTCATTTCTAGGGCTAAGTCGTATGGCAGATAATGTTTAATTTTATTAAAACATTGACAAAGTTTTTTGGTTTTGTTTTGATTTTCCCTTTTACTGGTAGAATTCCATTTTCTTTTAAGGTCACAGTTGAAAGTGTACTATTGATAACATTCCAGATTTCATCAACATTTTAATCTTATATTAATATTGGGTCTGTAAAAATACACAGTAGTCTCATTTAAGTGGTTCTTTTTTTGTTGTTGTTGTTTGAGACGGAGGTTTGCTCTGTGGCGCTGGAGTGCAGTTGCGCAATATCGGCTCCCTGCATCCTCTGCCTCCCAGGTTCACATGATTCTCCTGCCTCAGCCTCCCGAGTAGCTGAGATGACAGGCATTTGCCACCATACCTGGCTGATTTATGTATTTTTAGTAGAGATGGAGTTTCACCATGTTGGCCAGGCTGGTCTCAAACTCCTGACCACAGGTGATCTACCCGCCTTGGCCTCCCAAAGTGCTAGGATTACAGGTGTGAGTCACCACACCCACCTCATTTAAATGTTATTGTTGGTAAACATGTTCATTCGATCTTGTTACTTATATGCAAGAACTGTTAACATTTTGGAGTATTTAGGTTTTTTTTTCATATTTAAAAAGAATGGTTTGAGAATATTATATAATTTTTATCTTGAAAATTTAAAGCACAAGTGTAAGTGTGCATAATGTCGTACTTTAAAACATTGTCATTTATTTAATCACTTCCTTTTTGGTGTTTCTGATGTTTTCCGATTATGAATAATGTTTGGTGAGTATCTTGTACATAGGTGGTCAGCTATATGTAGAATTCTTTGTGTAGAATTGATTCCCAAAAGTGGCATAGCTGGGTCAAATGACAGTAATGAGGTTCTGAAAAAATGGTGAGTTTATCCCACTGTCAGTGTTTGAGACTACTCATTTTTTTGGCGGGGAGGGGCAGGGGGGCAAGACTACTCATTTTCTTTGCATCTCATTACTCTGAATCCTACTTAAGACATTCATGGAATCAGTCTTCAGCTTTTTTCTCAGACTATTATAAGCATGTAAAATCCATGTACAAAGCTTTGGAAAGCTAAAAAATGAAAAATCCTTGTATAGCCTTGGATTGTGAATATAGTTAATCTCCCTGGATAAATGGAATATAAAAGAACAATTAGAGAAAGCAACATGAACACACATAAAATTTCCTTGTGGTTACTCAATTTATGTAATAAATGTAGCCTTGTAAAATTGTCTGTCATTTTGTAAATTGAATCTTATTTTGAATGTACTGAGAGAGAACTCATTTAAATAAATCCTGTAATGAGTAACAAATCCTGTAACAGATTTCACTTGGGAAAAAATGTACTTTCCTCATTTGGTTATGAGTACATTCTGGTTGTACTTGTTTCATAAGTTCAAAATTTTGTTCACTTTTTTAGGTAATATGAATACCTTCTTTGTGCATTAATAGACCCTGTGATATGGTATGGCCTGGGTTATATTTATACACTGCACTGCATTTGTGAGATTACATATGTATGATGTAACTAAAACGAGTTAGGTTTAGCTTTATGAATTGCTGTTTCCTCACTGAACAGTTTGAGAAGTATACAGGTATAGTTGTTTGCTCCAAAATTTCCAAAACATAATCCTTTTAGTAGTGTTTCATATTTCTTCATCAGAAAGTTATTCTTTTGCCTTTTCCATTTTTAAAAAAGGAGATATTACCAGAAAGTGGAAAGGTAAAGCCTTGTCTGGATCAAGAAGGAGATGTCACAGAATAAGGAGAGACAAAGTTACAAAGTGAGAGGGAAGTAGTAAAAGCATTTGAGAGAACAATAATATGTTAATTACTTTTTAAATTGTTTTGGGACGAGGTAGAATATAAGTATTTTATCAAATGATTAAACCCTCCCTGAAAGTAGTGGATTAAGTGGTGTTCTCATAATACTGATGAGTTGGAAACAAAGTGTTGCGCCCTAAGTAAGTAATAGTGACTTTTCTTAAGTTGCACTTTGGGAAATTTATTTATTTATTTATTTGATATGGAGTCTCACTCTATTGTGCAGGCTGGAGTGCAGTGGTCCAATCTCTGCTCACTGCAACCTCTGCCTCCTGGGTTCAAGCGATTCTCCTATCTCAGCTTCCCAAGTAGCTGGGACTACAGGTGTGTGCCACCACGCCCAGACAATTTTTGTAGTTTTTAGTAGAGACAGGGTTTCACCACCTTGGCCAGGCTAGTCTCAAACTTCTGACCTCAAGTTTTCCTTCCACCTTGGCCTTCCAAGTACTAGGATTACAGGCATGAGCCACCGCACCTGGCCACTGTTGGAAATTTGGAACTAATCAGTAGAGCTTTAATTTGTTCGAACTCCTGACCTCAAGTGATCCGCCCATCATGGCCTCCCAAAGTGTTGGGATTACAGACAAGAGCCACCGCGCCTGGCCAAGTTTGAGAGTTTTACCAGAATAAAATTTCATTAACTTACTTCTTCTTGTTCAGTCTTTATTTCCCCTACATTATGACAACAGAAGGAAAAAAATCAGTATAAAATTTAAACAAAGCAAAGCAAAACAACAGCCAAACCCAAGTTAACTTTTCCCTGCTTTGAAATATGAAACAAATGAAGTATAACTTGTCTTAATTCAAATCATGATCTGAAAGATGACATTTATCTATGACAGGGGAGAGGGAGAAAAAGAAGCAGTGAATTGAGGAGCTTCTACGGAGTGTTTTGACAAAATTTTTTGACAATTTTTTTTTCTTTGAGTCAGTTTCTTGCTCTGTCGTCCAGGCTGGAGGTCAGTGGCGCGATCTTGGCTTGCTGCAACCTCTGCCTCCTGGGTTCAAGCAATTTTTGTGCCTCAGCCTCCTGGGTACCTGAGATTCCAGGTGCATGCCACCACGCCTAGCTTATTTTTGTATTTTTAGTAGAGGTGGGGTTTTGCCATGTTGGCCAGGCTGGCCTTTGAGTGATCTGCTCACCATGGCCTCTCACAGTGCTAGGTTTACAGACATGAGCCACAGTGTCTGCCACCAAAATAGCATATATTTCTAGAATGTTATGTGCCATATTTAATTATTCAAAATGTTCTCAGAATATTTTTTAAAGACTTTTGGTACATTTACTATTTTACATCATTGTTAAATCTCTTAATTAGTTAGCAAGAGTAATTACAAATTGATTGACAAATTTTTAAAAAATATTGCTACAGTAATCGCTGTAAGACCCAGATTTCAAATGAGACCTTTGTCAGGGGACATGATCCCGAAGTAGTTTTATGGAACTTTGCATAGGTTACTTGTTACTTTGCATAGATTATTTGGCCATTATTCTTGCGGGTGGACCTGCTCACAAGGTAGTTGGATGACATATAAATAGTTATTAACTCTCTTTGAGTGCATTTCCACTCAGTTTTTCGTGTGTGTTCAAACATCAAGATTAAGTCTTTTTAAGGCCATCCATACAGAAAAGGACTCAGGGTTGTAAAGGACCTTAAAAATCATTTAGTCATGCATTCAGCAGTTTTTAAAAATCTCTTTCCCATGTCCCTGCGATTTCCTCTTGTACGCTCACTGCCTTCTGAGGTAACTAAAAATGTTCTTTATTATAAATTCTTACTTGAATTGATGGCACGATAGGACTTTGCCAGTTGGTTATCTCATTTTGTTACATTACTTTTCATATAGTTTTCTAAATTAGTCTTAAACTTACTTAAAGGTAACAACTGTTTGATAAGGATATTTGTATAGCTCCAGTCTTAATATATCATTGTTGGTTTCTTAGGAAATATGAAATATTTAAAGAATTAAAATTCTTTACTATGGAGCTCTTCACATGTATAGTCTTTTCCTATAATCAGAAACACACTGAAGCACTCTTTGCATGTCCTAGAAGCTCAAGTGTCACAGTTACTTTGTGTTTTTAACTAGGTAGTTAATTGAATTTATTGTTAAGTCTACTATTTAATGAGTCTAACCGAACTTACTCTAAAATCTATTATGACGCTTAATAGTTTAAAATAATTTAAAAATACTTGGAGTTTACGGAACGAGAACACTGAGGTTTGTGTGCTGGTTAAAATGTTTTGAATTACTATATGTGTCATTTAAAAAAATGTATGTACTAGTAAAGTTTGTAAAATATTTTATCTTTTAGGCGAGGATTAAATCCACCACACAGGGTGAAATCTATCTCCATGACAACATTCACACAACAGGAAATTGAGTTCTTACAAAAACATGGAAATGAAGTAAGTGTGTTTTTTTTTCTTTGCAATTTTCAACTTTTTTGTTGGCAGTCATTTTAATAAGATTAATGAGTTGTTTAAAATGTTGAATTTCATGGTCTTAAAAAAGTTATTTTTGTATTCTATATTTAGATATTTTAGAATGCACTCATTTAAAAATATATTTGGAATTAATCTCTACTACATAAACACTTTACTTTAAATCTGAGGTGAAATGTATGTATTTCAAATTCATCAGTCTTGAATATAAAAGGCATTTCAGAGTACATCGTTATTACAATTACTGTTAGTCTTCGCTTTAAAAGTCAAAAGAGGAAGATAATTTATTTTGTGATTTTATATTAAACTTGTTAGGCTGTTGATGTATGATCGGCTTTCACTTGAAGTCCTCTCCTTTATTTTTTATAAATAAAGGAGTTGTGTATATGTGATGTGTATTTGGATGTATATGTGATGTGTAATGTTTAGCAGGTATTCAGTAGGGAAGAGGTTAGTAGTTCTCAGTGGCAGCCAAGTGTCATGGGGAGCCAGGTGGCATAAAGATTTGGTTGGAAGCTTTTTTCTGCTTGCCTTTAATGGGCTTCCAGTAATTCCATTCTGTTTGCTTGTTTGCTTTTAGGTATATGTTTTGCTATTAGTAAAAGTTTTAAAACTTTTAATAATATTTTTTAAATTAATAAAATTAACAAAAAAGTGGGCATTTTTTATAATCCTGGGGTAAGGATGAGCCAGTCAACCCAAGTTGATTAATAATAGCTATTATTATTTCACAGAAAAGTCTTATTTTCTAGAAAGGAATAAGTAGTACTTTAGTGGTACTCTTCCAGTTGCATCTTTGATATCCATAATAAACATAAAATAAGTGAAATATGATGATTTTATAAGTTTTAATCTTCTCTTTGACCCTTAGAAAATATGTGCAAGCGTTTTACATTTTGCCTTCCTTCCTAATACTTAGAAAGTCATATCTTAAAATCGTTTGCCTGCTTGCGATGTCCATGTGCTTTTGGTTCTAAAATAGTGAGGAAATATAAATTCACAGCTATGAAATATTTTTAAATACATGATTTAAAGAAGAGAGCATATCTTGAAGTCTCCAAATTTTGCAAATGACAAATTATTTTGAGTATTCAGATTCCAGACTAACGTGAATACATTATAAGAACGTGTAAAGCTGGATGAAAGGGTAGGAGGTTTTTAATGACAGTAAGCATAGAACAATATATATGTTGATTAAAATACAATTTGAACTGTTTGTATAAAGTTTACAAGTAGGATTAACTTAACACTGCACACTCGAAGTTACTTTCTTAGAATATTGGCTTAGTGTGCAAAATTTTGGAAATTAGATTGGAATCGGAAATAAAGAATATTATTCTATTTTTAGATTTAAAATATGACAATAGGTAAAACCAGAGTAACAAAACTATGATAACAGCAGACCATTGAAGAAGTCAAAATATAATAACGTGAGATAAGGTTAGGTGGAGACTGGGCCAAAAAATACCAAGATTGAAGGAGTATATATTTTTAATTGTGGTAGGAACATTGATCTACCCTCTTAACAAATTTTTAGCTGTGCAATATTGAATGCTTAACTGTAGAGACAGTGTTGTATAGCAGATCTCTAGAAATTAATCATCTTGTATAACTGAAATTTTATATCATTTGAATTACAGCTCCTCATTTTATCCTCTGCCCCTGGTGCCCCTGATTCTACTCTCTACTTCTATGGGTTTGACTATTTTAGATACCTCATATAAATGGAATTAAACAATATTTGTCATTCTGTGATTGGCATATTTCACTTAGTGTAATGTCCTCAAGATTCATCTTTATTGTCATGTTTGGCTGAATTTTTGAGGGAGTATTTTTTTAAGGCTGTAGCATTAAGGTAAATTTAGAATATGTAAAATAAATAGTTGATTTCTGGGAACTCACTGTATCAGAAAGTAGAAGCAAAATATGTGAAATGCATTCATAAATCTTAAGTCCTACAAAGAGGTATGCAGCTTGATAGACCACTCAGAGCATTTACCATGACAATCACTGTTACTGTGCTGGGCATTATGGATGTGGTTAAGATGTGTAACACTGGCTTAGTGGACAGAGGGCTCACAGTTGGAGTGACAGATAAGTAACATAATTGCAGCATCGTGTTAGATAAATAATGATAAGAATAAGAAATATCAGAAGTAGTATGGAGAAGGGACTTAGTCTTTTAGAGGGAAGGTGAGGATTGAGAAGACCCCACAGAAGAGGTAACACATTTGCTGGTTTTTGAGGGTAACTAGGACCTAAGCTGATAGTGAAAGTCACCGAAGATGGATCAAACAGTACAAAAAGGAAAAGGGAAACTTGTAATAGATTGCTAGAAAATATACTAACCTTGCAAATGCTTGTTAAGAAAGACAAACATACCTTCTCATAGTGTACCAAAGGACATCTTAGAGCCAAAATAATTGGACAGGTATATTTGGTTCTTTATAGTATTAACAGTATCTTTGTTTTTAAAATTTTGAGAAGTGTGTAGAGGATGAAGATATGAAGTGTGAGATAGTTGCTACAGCTTTATAACCAAATTTTTGTGGATTTCAAGTACAAGTGTTTTATTATCAGCTTATCTTTTTAAAACCTTTAAATCATAAGTATCACATGTGTAGGGAATAGTACCAGAACTTAAGTTTACATTTCAAAATAAGTTGCCATGTTTCTCTTGTCACCTTTCAGTAGTTTGGAAAGGACCATATTCAGTCACATAAGTTTTGGATTAAAAAGGCACTACTGTACATCTTGTGCATGAATGGGTTCATGCCTGAAGAAGGGTATTTCCAAAACTAAAAGATCAGAAAGTGTATTGGCTTTGGCAGCAGCCTTGGATCCTTGACCCCCACCAGGGAGTTTTAGTATGCATGGGGGCATGTTGGGTTGTTGTCACTATTGGAGGATGTTGCTGGCTTAAGCAGGCAAGCGCCATGAATGATGAGTGACTTATAATGTTTTGAACAGAATTAACCTGCATGCCATATGCTGTGAATGTTCCTCTAGACATTTATATATGGGAAACATCTGTGTACGATCATCTGCATATATATTTTAATTTTGTCTTACATACTTGCATTATAGTTGAACATCCTATTTCAAAAAAAAAGTCGTCCTCCAAGCCCAGAATCAGAGTGGGGTGGGCTACCAAGTTACAGAGCAAACGGCATGGATACAATCACACAATTGATGGCAATACTAATTATATTTTAGTTATCAATGAAATATATCTGTATTGGTCTGTATAGGTAGCTGTGGTAAGCAAATAATGTTATTACTATTTATAGATATGCATAGAGACCATACTTTTTTACAGAGTGTGTCATTACTTTCTGTAGAAAGTAATGACACAAATTGGTTTACAAATTTCTTGACTATTGCTTTAGTGTTTATAGACTTCTACAGTGTGTTTGGTGGGGCAGATATGTACATTATTAAGTTATAGAACATAATATGCCAGATGCTAGTAAAATATTTTGCATTGGAGCACTGTATTTATTTGGTGAAGTAATTTTTGTCATTTTTTCAAAACCAAAATATTTCATAAAAAAGTTTCCATGTATTTATTTTGTAATGCTTTCCTTTGTAGCATACAGTTATTTTTAAAACAAATCTGTAGTGATCTTGGCACTGTGGCTCCCCTGTAATCCCAGTACTTTGGGAGGCGGAGGTGGGATGATTCCATGAGGCCTGTACTTGGAGACCAACCTAGGCAACAAAGTGAGATCCCGTCTGTAGAAAAATTTAAAGATTAGCCAGGCATGGTAGTACACATCTGTAGTTCCAGTTACTCAGGAGGCTGAGGTGGGAGCATTGCTTGAGCCCTGGAGTTTAAGGCTGCAGTGAGCCATGATCATGCAGCTGTACGCCAGCCTGGATGACAAAGTGAGATACTGTTTCAAAAAAAAAAAAAAATTCCATAGTGATCTTCTGTATGTCCTTTTTTGTAATGTCACGGGCAAATCATGGTTTTCTAGTTAATGGAAGTTGGGTTTACTTCTCATTATAAACTTAATGGAAGGTGGGCTGGTGAACACTGCTATAGGTAGATAATTCAATAGAAAGAAAATGCAGGGCCAGGTGCGTCGGCTCACGCCTGTAATCCCAGCATTTTGGGAGGCCAAGGCGGGTGGCCAATATGGTGAAACCCCATTATTTGGGCCTGGTGGTGGACACCTGTAGTCCCAGCTACTTGGGAGGCTGAGGCAGGAGAATTGCTTGAACCTGGGAGGCGGAGGTTGCAGTGAGCCAAGATTACTCCACTGCACTCCAGCCTGCACTCCAGACGGAGTGAGACTCCATCTCAAAAAAAAAAAAAAAAAGAAAAAGAAAAAAAATGTAGAAATAATTTTATTTTGAAATACATAGTTTATGTTTTATAGTATCAAGTTAACCTTCCTAGTTGTTTTAAGACTAAGAGGAAAAGCATTACTACTGGCCAAGCATGGTGGTTTACGCTGGTAATCCCAGCACTTTGGGAGGCTAAGGTGAATGGATCAGTTGGGGCCAGGAGTTCAAGACCAGCCTGGCCAACATGGGGAAACTCTGTCTCTACTAAAAATATATATATTAAAAAATTAGCCAGGCGTGGTGGTGTTTACCAGTAATCCCAGCTACTCTGGTGGCTGAGGTGGGAGAATTGCTTGAACCTGAGAGGTAGATATTACAATGAGATTGTGTCACTGAACTCCAACCTGGGCAACAGAGTGAGACTGTCTCAAAAAAAAAAAAAA